AACATATCGTATGAAACGAAACGTTGACAAGAAAGAATATTAGTAAATCTGAGATAAAATGAAAAGAAAAGAAAACAATATGAAATTTATCTATTATCTATGTTTTATGCAAATGCTTTCCACAAAAAATTGCCTAGTAAAAAGACAGAAATTATATTTTAAAGAAAATCATTTTCATTAAAACTTATGAAAATAAAGAAAAGCATTCATCATCATACTGAATATGGAAACAAAGTAATTCATTAGAAAAAGACAGACTACAAGAATGCTCACAGTTTTCCTTTAAAAAAATTTAATTCATAATAATAATCAACATGATATTATTTATTATTTTAATACAAATATGAAAAATTACATGAGACAAAAAAAGTAAATAAATACATACTTCAACAATGCTAGTGACTAATCATCGATCATGATAATAGTACAGAGAAGAAAAGAGTATGTTCATTTTATTTAATGCCACACATCAAGGATCGAAGGATATATTTTAATACATGAGTGTCTCTTAACTTTGAATGTCTAAAAATAAGACACATGGAATTTTTGTTACAGTAATAGCATATAATAATACTCCATGAGAAAAAGTGTCACAAGGGATCATATCTCATATAAAAACATTCCATTCGAAACTGTCTTTTGTTTGTATAAAAACTGTTTAATTATTGTGTCTCAAGACTTCTGAAACACATTGTACTCATTCTTTTAGAACTGAGAATAAATAAGATTTTGACAATTCATTTTTATTTTATGTAAAATAAAAAGAACAAATTCATAAGACTAAATATAAAAATACTAGAAAAGAAAACAATATTTATTCAAGATCGACCATCATGATGTTTTATAAATCGCAATGAAATATATCCTGAAACTCGAAAGACAATAAAAATACCAAAAAGAACAAGAAAATTAAAAGCAATACTAAAATCAACCTTAAAATATTGTAATGCATCAGTACCATTAAATGTTCCATTTGTATTATTTTTACATTGATCAATATAATTTCCATTAACACATTCATATAAATGTTCACCCATAAATAATAATTGAATACATGCATCATAAGCATATTTATAAAATGATAACCATTTAATCCAACATTTTAACCAATATGGAATATTTTCAATAAAATATCCACCTGTTAATAAATCTGCAATTAAAACAACATTACCAGTAACCCAAGCTTC